TTCTTCGGTCCTGTCCCCAACAACGGCCACATCTGGACGCCGCTGCTCCTTTGCTCAACCGAGAGGCTCTTCAGGTAAGTCTTGATGGGAGACCAGCTGGTCTCTCACCTTGGGACTCCTCACTCGCTTCCCAGGGCACAGGGGTTGTGTGTAAATGTGTGGCCAGGCCAAGTCTTTGACACTTCTGTCCCTGGGTGGGGAGCAAGGAAGCCACCCCAATGATAAGAGGGTGGGGTTGGGGAAGGCCCAGCCAGGCAGGGGGAGGGGAAAGGGCCAAGCTGGCAACTCTTGCGCAGCTACATTAAGGATTCAAGGCTGCCTCCTCACTTGACTCCCCCTCCGCCTGCCTGCTTGCCTGGGCCTTTCCCAACACCGGGGATGGCTGGAAGTAGACTTCAGGATTCCTGACCCCCCAGGAATCCTGAGGAGGGGCCTTTAGTGGTCTTGGAAGCCTGGCCGCCTCCATCCATGGCATTGCGGCCCATAAAATGTCCTCCCCCAACCTCCACCCCCCAGCCCTGCCCCAGATGGTGACAGCTGGGCTTCCTGGGCCTCTTAACTGTCAGGAGCCCCTCCGCAGGATTCCTGGGGGCAGGAATCTGAAGTCTACCTCCAGCTGTGCTGTGTTGGGAAGGGCCCAGCGGAGGAGGGGGGTCAAGGGTCACTTGACCCCTTCCTCCCTCCTTCCCTGGCCGGGCCTTTCCCAACACAGGAGGGAGGGTGGCAGAAAGGGAGAGACCACACCACACAACTATAAATCCTGGAAGCCCAGCCTCCATTTAGCCCTTACCCTACCAGGATCAAGGTGTTGTTGTTTTTTGACCCCCGGAAACACCTGCCCGCCCCCACCCCCCAGAATGCCATGGCTGGTGGGGGCGGGGTTTCCAGGAAGTGCAAAGGTTTCCCTGGGAATCCTGGGTGACCTACCTTCAGCCCCCCACCCCCACCCCGTTTTTGGAAAGGCCCAGAGAGGAGGGATCAAGCGGGGAGTCCGTTCTGGATCTCTTGCCCAGCTGCACAAGTGACCCAGGACTGATCCCCATTTGATCCCTCCCCCCCTGGGCCTTTCCCAACACGGGGCAGGCCGAAGGGAGACCACCCAGGAATCCCAGGGGAAAAAAAAAAACACCTTTGCAGTTAGGGGTCCTGGAAACCCCACCTCCCCCGGCCATAGCATTGCGGAGGGGGGCAGAGTGGCTCCCCCCTCCCCTCCCTCCAGCTATTCCCACCACTCTCCTTAGGGGAACTGAGCGGTGCCCAAAGATGCCCCCTCCTACTTCTTACCTTTGCGGGGACGGAAGTGGGTATCCTGTGTGCCTCCTTTGGGGGGGGGGGGTGCCCCAAATGCTCCATGCTTCCTCCCCGGCCCTCCCCCATTTCTCTTACTTACCTTGCTGGAGGAAATAAGGGGCATGTGGGGGTGTTTCTCCCCCTCCCCGTGTCTACCGCTTCCTTTAGGGGGAAATGAAGTGGTACCCCAGTGTTTCCCATAGGAGGGCAAATGGGTAATATGCTGGCTTGGCTTTCAAGGGACACCACACACACACACACACACACCAAAAAGAGAGCCAGGCAAGGATCCCCGTCACCAGTTAAAAAGAGACAAAATCCACAATCCAAGTAGAAAGCCAAAAAAGATTAGCTGGGCTTTTTTTTTTTTTTTTTACGTTTTGTTTTTTTAGTTTTTTTTAGTTTTTGCTTTTTTCCAGTTTTTATTGAGTGAAAATGTCAAACCTTGCATCAGTCATGCAAAAAAAAAAAAAAAAAAAAAGATCAAATAAATAAAACACATATATTAAATTTCTAGTAGCACTAAATTCAAGTGGAAAAATATTCAGTCCTTAATAACGTAGGTGCTGAGAAGACCAGATTCAAGTAAAATCAGAGCACGCCGTCCTGTCGTAGGATTTTTGTTTTTTTGTTTTCACTTTCCGCATTATTATTTTTTGTCTCAAAACCTATATATAGCTATATATCTATATATATAGGTATATACATATAGATATATATACACACACATATATATATGTGCATACATATTATTTTATATTTTATATATATATATATTTATATATATATATATATACACATACATATTTATAAAACATTTAAAAAGCGCACTGGTAGTTCAAGCATCACTTCTCCCCCTCCCCCCCCCCTTGCCCCCACCCCCACACAGAAAGAAAAGGAGAAAATAATAATAATAATAATAATTAAAAACAACCGAAGTACACGTTTTTAAAATTCAAAATGAGCTAGCAATGGCTTATAGTCCTAGTGTGCAATATGGATTTTACAAAGGCTAGAAAGTCTTTTCCCTCAACAAAAAAACATTTTTTCCCCCCTTTAGGTCTGTTTTATGTATGTGGGTGTTTTTCAGGATCCTTTTCCCCCCGGAAATATGGGTTCTCCTTTTGCAGAAGGCAGGGATTTTATTTTATTTTATTTTAAAAACTTTTCTTAGCTGGGAAGAAGTGTGGGGGGACTGTTTTTCCTGTTCAAACAGAAAGCAGAATATAATAAGATGGGATTTGGAGGGTAAGAGATGGTTCAGGTTTAAAACACTGCCATTTGTCAGAAATGGTGTAGGGTCTCCTGCTTGGGCGGGGTGGGTTGGACTAGATGACCTACAAGGTCCCTTCCAACTCTGATTATCTGTTACCTTCCTGGCTCCATTTCAAAAGGGGCTGGGGAGGGGGGAGGAAAAAAACTGATGCCCAGGGCCTTGTAGGCACACTTTGGAAGCAGCCGACGTGCCAAGCGTGCGGGGAAAACCACTCTGGGTGTCCCCAATGCCTTCTTGGCAGGGCCGAAAAACATCCATGTCAGGGTTCCCCCCAAACTTGGCCACTTTTAAGACTAGTGGACTTCAACTCCCAGAATTCTCCCCAGCCAGCATAGCTTGCTCTCTTTGTAATCCCTTCCTCTCGCAATCTCTCTCCACTTTAGGAGGTTAAGAGAAAAAAAAGAAACAGACACGGCTGGCTGGAGAATTCTGGGAGTTGAAGTCCACAAGCCTTAAAAGTGGCCAAGTTTGGGGACTTCTGCACTACGTAATTGAAGCGAGTCGATCTTTTCAGCTTCAATGTTAGGGTGACAAAACGGATTAAGAAAAGAGGGGAGAAAAAAAAAATCAAATAAACTTCAGTGCCTTTGCCGGATCTCTCTCTCTTATCTTTTTCTTCTCTTCCTCAACTTTTCTGTAAAACGAGCAAGCCCGAGTCTTATCACAAGCTTGTTGCTGGTCTTACACATTTCCCACTAAATGCCTACGGGTCAGATATAGATTAAGTGCTTTCTCCTGAAATCGAGTCTCCACCCAGAATGCAGCAGCAAGAAGGTAACTTGTGTGAATTAAACCATTTCCAAACAAAACTGTATTTTGTTTTGTTTTTTTTAAAAAAAAAACCTCTTTTTTTTAAAGTGGAGGAAAAGCTCCAATCTCTGGGAATTAGACACAGGGAAGAGTAGATAGACGCACCGTGTCCAATTGAGGGGAGGGGGGGGCATGGAAGTTTCCCTAGGCGGCCAGGCGAGACCATTTCAATGTTTAGGGCCTCTGCAGCCATCCGCCTCCAAGGAGAGAGAGGGGGAATTCCAGGTACGTTTGGATGTGATTCGGGTGACCCCTGCTTCCCCGGGAAAATGCAGATTCGATTTAAAGAGGTGTGTGGGTGTGGGGGGGGGGGGAATCTCCCTTTTCCCTTTTGAATCTGGAGGGCTGCCCTCCCGCCTTTCTTCCTTACCTTTCTTCCTTCTCCCTTGCTCCCTTTCCCGTGGCTGCTAAAGGCCACTGACCAGAAGTGGCCGGAGATTTTATTGCCGAAGACATGAGAGAAACATGTAAAAGTCGCCAAGTTTTGTAAACACACATGCACGCCGCGCGCACACATACACACAGGTGTGCTACTCAAGTTTGGGAGGACCACCAAGTCGTCCTCGCTCAAGGTACCTTGGGGGTGTGGGAGGGGGGGAGGAGGAGGGGAGATCTTAAGTCCACGCCTTTCCAGAAATGTGACCACAAAAACAATGGGTTTCCCACAGTACCTTTTGGGAAGCTACCCAAGGAGTTAAAAAAAAAGAGGATGGGCCGAGGAGCATCTCCCAACGGAGCCCTGCTCTCCGACTCTTGGTCCCCCCAGCCTGGGAAGAAGGGAGGCCATGCCATCGCCTGGCATCGTGGTGCCCCTTTCGGATGCAATGGCCTTTGCCAAGAGGGGACCAGGCCAGAATTTGGGAGCCCTGCCAGGCCGTGCCAAACTAGGGGGAGACTTTTGGCAGCCCGCCCTTTCGTGAGCAAGTCAGAACTGGGAAGGGTTGTCCTCTCCTCTCCCCCAAAATGGTTCATGCCAGGGGATTTCCCAAACGTGGCCACTTGAAGACTTGTGGACTTCAACTCCCAGAATTCCTCAGCCAGCATGGCTTCAAGTCTTAAAGGGGCCATGTTTGGGGATCCCCTGCCCTCATGCGTTACCTTTACCAGCCACACAATAAACTATCCACGGGGGGGGGGGGGTGTTGGCCACCTCATCGGACTCTATGACAAAATCTCTTGGTTTCTTTCAAGGCCTGCCAAATCGAAATTCTGAAAAGATTTGAGTGCTTCACGGGAAGATGGATCTCCTTTGCCCTCTTGAGAACACGGATGGCGGCAGGAGTTCTTGAAGGAAACCAAAGGCCCGGTTCTCAGGCCAACTTCCCACCAGATACTCGGGACTGTGATCTGAAGGGATCCTCGTTGTTCTAGCTGTAACTCTCCAATTCTTTTCTCTCTCTTTCTCTCTATTCAATATATATATCTAATAGCAACTTTTACAAAGGAGAAATAATACAACACAGCGGCCATTTTCTCTGGGACCCCTGAAACGGGTTTTGGCCATTCTTTTTCCTTCCTCGCTAGCCTTAAATTTAACCCAAAGTTCCCCGTCTTTGCACTGGGAAGGGACCCTTTTGCGATTTCTGGTTTTCCTTTCCCCCACCCCTTTTCCTTTTTTTTTTTGCAGCCCAACCACACAAGACACGGGAAGCGCAGGGCCATCGCTGACGCAAAACCCTTCAGCTGTCAAGTATTGGAAGAGAAAGACCTCCAGGCAAGAGTGGGATGCTGCCGGTATAACAACCGGTTTCGGTGGGCCGTGCGCTTCGGCTGATCAGCTGAGACGAGATAAAAGGTGAGTACAGTGCAGGGGCCCACAGGATCTTCTGAACGAACCCGTTCACTGCTAGCTGATCTTCGGAGAGAACCGGATCGCTCGAACCAGGTTGAACCGGCAGAATCCCACTCCTGCCTCCAAGGTCTTTCAATTTGCACCCGAATCAAAGCCAGGATCTGTTTCCTTCTGGGAGCCTTGAGCAGGACTCCTCGGCCGGGACTTTCTTCCCCTCCCTCTGGTGTTTCGAGAGCAGGCTGAGGGGGGTGGGGGCATGGAACGCTTGGTCTTCCCAATTCTGGACTGGGAAGACTTTAAGTGCTAGACCCAGACGGGTCCAGAAGTGCAAGCCAGAGGTCGCCCTGCCATGGCTGAGGCCTTCAGGGGAAGACGCCGAAACGGGCTGGGGTCTCCTGCAATGGAGCCAAGGGTCCTGGTGCTTGAAAGCCCTTCAAGTCACTGGGGGAGCCTGTGGTTTAGCTCTTCTCCCTGTCTGCAGGCTGGAGTTCCAGACTCAGCCCTTTGGCTCTGCTTTCTCCCCACCTACCGGAGGCTGGGCCATTTAAGAGCGGCTCCTCCTTTCCTTCAATGACCTCCCCCTCCCCTAAAAAAAAAAGCCAGAGCTCCACCAGAAGGAGACCTCCAGCTTCAGGGAGAGGCTTGACATTATAAAGCAGTTTCTCCTTCTCCTAATTTTTCTAAATTAGTAACTTCTTATTATTATCATCCTCATTATTATTACGACTGATATTTCATTCCCAGCCTGGATCGATGCGTCTCGTGTTTTTCCCCCACCACCTCTTGGGTTTTTTTTGTGTTTTTTTTTTTGCTTTTCTTTCCAAAAACAAACAAACAAACTGATAATAAATACCCCCGTTCCAAAGCATTCCCAGCTGCCTGAGACTCCCATTTCTCCTGTTCCTGTGATGCTCCGGAGAAAAAGGGGGAGAAAGGAATAGGAATATAAGTGATACCGGAACCCGCCCCGTCCCCCAAGTCCCTACCCCAACCCCCGGTGGCAAAAAGGACTCGGCTTTGCAGCTTAGCAGAACCTAATCCGGCTTTGCCGCTATATATATATCTATATCTACATCTATAGATATATAGATATATCTATATTTTGTATGACTTAACGCTCTCGTCCCTCCTCGTATCCCCCGCCAGATGCTAGCTGCCTGCCCCCACCCTCCCCCGTCTCCCTGAGAATGGGAGGAGTATTAGAGGACAAATGAACACACACGGGAGTCGAAGGGTTAAAATACAAAACCCCTCCCGCCTTCCCGCCTCGAGAAGTGGGCTCGGAAGGGGCAGGCCGCTTCCTGCCACGGGGAGCACATCCATCCAGGAGCGGGAGGGTCAGTCCGCCTGCATCACGGGACCACCGTGCTCCTCCTGCTGCCCCCCCCTGTAAACATGTGCACCCCAACAGATGGGTCCTCCTGCTGCCCCCACCCCAGCCCACCCTATCGCCAGGATGTTGCTCCTGCTGCTGCTGCTGCTGCTGCTTCCGCCTCTCCGGCTCCGCCGTGTCTCCGTGTCGTGTGTGGTCCGAGATATCAGTGCTTCCCTCCGCCTCTCGCGCACCTTCTGGGATAGAGTCCGCTTTGCTGCTTGCTGGCCATTCTAGCATTCGTTCTTGCCTCTCCCCTCAACACAGCAAGGTTTCCTGTTCATGCAGTTTTGTTTTGTGTGTTTTGTTTTTTTGCTTTCTCCGCTCGCCAAGGCCAAACCCCCAGGCCCACCCGCTGCTGTGTGGCTGCTCCTTAAGGAGCTGAGGCTGGCTCGCCGGAAGGCATGGAAGTGTCACTGGGATCCGCAGTGGAGGAAACGGCCTCCTGCAGTTCACTAATGTCTTTTGCAGGCGGGCCCTCCGCGTCAGGGAGCGACTCTTCCGAATCGGTGTTCAGATCCTCTTCCTCCTCGTCCTCCTCCTCCTCTTCGTCGTCCTCCTCATCCTCATCCTCCTCGTCCTCGTCCTCCTCCTCGTTCATTTCCTCCTCTTCATCCTCGTCATCGTGGGAAGAGTCATCCTCTTCTTCCACGTTGCCGCAGCTGGCCAGGAAGAGCTTGCTGGCGGCAGGGGCCTGGCTCTCTGCCGGGACGGAAGGGAGGCCGCCTGTGTCCCCGAGGGGCTTCTGGCTGAGGTCCATGGAGTCGTTGAGCCCCACGCCTGCTGCGTTCTGCAGGAAGAAGAGGGAGCTCTTGGCGTCTGTGCTCAGGTTGAGGGAGCTGTCCAGGTTGACAGAAGCGCTCTGGGCCTCGTACTCCATGGGGGTGGCGGAGAGACCCTCGGGCCCCGGAGAGATGGCCGGCAGCTCCCCCCTCTCCTGCTTCTCGTGCTTGCGCTTGTGCGAGTCCATCTGCGACATGCCCACCACGGTGTGCTTGCACCCGGGGTAGGTGCAGTGGAAGTGCGAGCACTTGAGTTTGTATTTGCACTCGGGCACTTCGCAGTCCACGCTGGAGCTGAACTGGCAGAAGCCGGCGGCGCTGATCACGTCCTGCTTGCCGTGGTGCTTGCGGTGGGCCGTCACTTTGGTGCTGTCGGTGCAGCGGAAGCCGCAGCGCAGGCAGTGGAAGTGCGTGCTGTTGCCGGAGAACTGGCAGTCGGGGAAGTGGCAGCTGAGGGAGGACTTGAAGCGCTTGAAGTCGTCCAGCACCAGGTTGTCCACCCGGTCGTGATGCTGGGCGTGCTTGTACATGTGGGTGCGCCCGCAGAATTTGTACCCGCAGTTCTCCCGGGTGCAGTGGTAGTGCGTGACCTTGAGGGAGAACTGGCAGTTGGCGTCTTTGCAGTCCTCGTACAGGTCGTAGCGCCGAAAGCCCTCCAGCATCATCCCCTCGTCCAGCATCTTGCGGGAGGAGGGGGTCTTGCGGCGCTTGCCAAAGGGGGACATGTCCTCAATGATCCAGAAGCGCTTCTTGGCCCCCGCAGCCGTTGGCATGGTGATGGTGTTCCCTGAGGAATAAAGGCAAGAGATTGGCATTGTGGAGACGCCAACTCCCCTTTTCTTCCAGACCCCCCTCATGTTGGGTGATGTGGACTTTTGCTTTCATTGCCAGGTTGTGGTAGAGCACACTCCAAGTCCCATCTCTAAGCGGAGTGGTCTTGCGAGACCCAGGAGGGGCGGCTCCCCTACGGGATGGAAGTCAGG